GGGCTTCGCCCCGAGACAGGAGGCACCTGTCGAGCTGGCGGCCTGTTCTCTCCCTCCAGAGTGGGTTTGTAACGGGCACTTTTGATCTTCAAGAGGTGCTGTTTCGCGGGGGCTGCGGCTTCACCGTGCTGCGCTGCACCAGCTTCGCGCTGGAGAGCTGTGCGCGCCCCGACCGCCGCTACTCCCTCGCCGACCTGCTCAAGTACAACTTCTACCTGCCCTTCTTCTTCTTCGGGCCCATCATGACCTTCGATCGCTTCCACGCCCAGGTGAGGGGACGGCCTGTGGGCTCCCAAGAAGGGCTCACCCAGAACCCCCAGGCAGGCTGTACCCCCATCCCCAGGGATGGTTCCAAGAGGAAGCCATGTCTTCGCTCCCCCCAGACCCCAGCATGGGGCAGGTTTCCCCCAGCAGAGATCCCAAGGCGTCCTTCAGGCAGGACTCCCAGGGCCGGGTCATGAGTGTTCTGCTCCCACTCAGGACAGAACCAGGCCTCCCCTGCTGGCAGGACCTCTCATCAGCCGCCAGGAGGGTGGCCTGTCCCACCCCAGGCAGGTGGCACTCCCCGCTCAGGCTTCTCCGTCAGAGCTCGGCTCAGCCCTCAGACGCTCACGTCCCCCCAGGTGAGCCAGGTGGAGCCGGTGAGGCCGGAAGGTGAGCTGTGGCGCATCCAGGCCCAGGCGGGCCTCAGCGTGGTGGCCATCATGGCCGTGGACGTCTTCTTCCACTTCTTCTACATCCTCACCATCCCCAGTGACCTCAAGTTCGCCAGCCGCCTCCCAGACAGCGCCCTCGGTGCGTCCCCAGAACAGAGATGAGGGACGGGGGCTGGGCCACCACCCCAAGAAGACAGACCGTCTGCCCTTCCACGTGGACAGTGGGGACCCTGAGGCCTCAAGGCCAGGGCACCTCAGGGTGGGGGAGCCGGGACTTAGTCTGGAATGGAGGTACTGAGCCTCAGCTTCGTCCTGAGGCAGAGCAGCACCCCTTAGGGCCTGCCCCACATGGGTCTGGGTGATCCCCAGCACCTGAATGGGGTCTCCAGGGATAGGAGGGGCCTGGCGCCTCCCCAAGGTAGGGCGCGGGGCCTCCTTGAGCGAGAGCCAGGACCTCTCCCAGGGCCTCTTGGGCAGCTAGGACCGGCCCAGCACCACCCCGGGGCCTGGGGCTCAGCAAAGCCCAGGCAGTGATGGCGCCCTGTCCCCAGCTGGCCTGGCCTACTCCAACCTGGTGTACGACTGGGTGAAGGCGGCTGTCCTGTTTGGCGTGGTCAACACGGTGGCGCGCCTCGACCACCTGGACCCGCCCCAGGCCCCCAAGTGCATCACTGCGCTCTACGTCTTCGCGGAAACGTGAGTGCCTCGGGAGGCCCCGGGAGGCAGCCCCGGGTGCGCCTGCCCGCAGCTCCGCCCCATGGCCCCAGCCCTGTGTCCGGGGCTCACGGCCTTTGCTCTCGCTCACAGGCACTTCGACAGAGGCATCAACGACTGGCTTTGCAAGTGAGTCGGG